CCCCCCCCCCCTCCCCGCTGTGGGCGTTCGTCGGTGTCCGTTACAGCGGCGCCCACGGGCGTGTGCCAGCGCGAACGCGAGCGTGCCCGGCATCCCGGCGCGGCTCGGGCGCACGGCCCTTCTCCGCCCCATGCGTGCGCGCTCACCCAGGTGCCCACCCGCCCCGACGCGCCGGGACGCCGCTCGCCCTCATGGACGAGTCAAGGGAAATCCCTGCCCGTCCCTGGGCCTGGCGCGCGGCGCCGAAGCTCGCCCCCTCCCCCCCCCCCCACGGGAGCCGCCTTCCATGGAAAGGCTGGTCGTTCCCCGCGTCCCCCGCCTGCCGGGGACACCAAAGGGATAAGGAACCACGGCGGGACGGGACATTCCGCCGCCCGCCCGCCCCCTTCCTCGGCAACGGGGCCGGTTTGCCGGGCCGACCGGCCGGAGCAGCGGCACCTCCCCCTGGGGCTATTTTTTCGCGAACGCGCGCGCCCCGTCGGCAGGCTCATCTCCGCCGAATGTTCGCCTGCACAGCGGCTGGGTGGTGCCGCGCGCGCGCGCGCGCGCGCGCACGCACTCGCTCGCACGCTGAGCTCCCAGCCGACGCAGTCAGCTGCCAATCCGCGGCCCCCCCCCGGGCTCGCCGCCCGGCGCCCGCCCACACCCGGACGCCGAATACCCTCCCCTTGTCGGTTCGTACACGCGGACATGGTTTCCCGGCAGGCCCCGCCGCGGCTGCCCTCACTCCCAGCCGCAACCCGCGCGAGATGGCAGGCCCTGGGGCCGGGGGGACGCGCCCCTGGCGGAATGCGCGGGCGGCACATTCCGAGCACCAGACCGAAGACAAGAAGGAATGGTGTTGCCGGATCACAGGGACACTCCCGACCATCCCCCGGGAGCCGCGGTCCACATGATACTCCGTTGGATGTTTGTCTTTCCCGCCCCCTCCGCGATCTAGCACCCCCCCGCCCGGCTTCGGGACGCCGCGCCGGAGGCTCTCCGCCGCCGGTCAGTGCGACCGCGCGACCTTCACCGGGTGTGTTTTCTTCGTCGCTTTTTTTTTTTTTTTGCAGCCAGCTTCACGATCTGCCGGCTGGCCAGCCGCATCAGTTTCCCGTCCCTCCTCCTCCTCCTCCTCCTCTGCCTCTGCCTCCGCCTCCGCCGCCGCCTCTTCCTCCCCCTCCTTCCCTTCCTCGCCGACTCGTGCCCCTACCGCCCTCCCCCAGCCATGATGAGCCCATCCTCGGTGGCGGCGGTCCCCGGCCCGCACGGCCACGGCTCACGAGCATCCCCCGCAACGGCGCCGGTGCAAGGGGCCCAGCGCCTGCTGGCCAGCCACACGGCCACACGGCTGCCGGAATTTGCGCAGCTCTGCCTCGGGTGTCACGAGCAGCTGCAGAGCGTCTTCAATGGCAACCACATCAAGTCGTCGGCCGGGACCGGTGGTCCGCCGACGGCCGCCGGGGCCGACGCCCTGCACGATGCGGCGCTGCCGGCCCTCGGCCAGTGCCTGCAGGCCCTGCGCGACGTGTGGGCCATCCTCTGCTCGCACACGGCCCCGCCCGCGCTGCCCGACTTCCTGGTCCGGTCCCTGTGCGTGCCCTGCGGCCTGGCCGGGCGACACCGCTGCCCACTTTTGCCCCCGCCATTTCCCATCCCACCGGCGGTGTCGCCGCGCATTGGATCGACTGCTGTGCCGGCCCGACTTCCCCCCTCCCCCTCACCCGCCCCCCACCTCC